AGTTAAAAAATTGTGTTTTTTTTTTTTGAAAAAATCCTTCCTTTCAAAAAAAAAAAAAAAAAAAAAAAAAAAAAAAAAAAGAGAGAGGAAAAAATGACGCCACCAAACCATTTAGCCAGGAGACAGCTTCCACAGTCCAGAGACAAACCTGGTTTTTAAACAAACATTTTACACCAAAAACATAACAAAAGTAAAACATACATGTAATGTAGTCTGTTGGTCGTAGTGAACATTGTCAGATCTGAAAGAAAAAAAAAAAGGGATGCTTACGATACTGCAAACGGCATCCCAACTGTCAAGTAAAGGAGTAGTAGTAATGTGTGTGTGTGTGTGGGGGGGGGGGTTGCTGCAGGAGGGACTGGTGCACTTCACAATATAGATCCCATCAAAAGGAAAGAACATTATGTGAACATATTGATGCTGCAAATAAAGATTCCAGCTAGAAAATGATACCACTAGTCATAGAATTGTGCAAATTTAAATTTTAAAAACAAATTTGGTTTATGGAAAGACGTTAATTAAAAAAAAAAAAAAGTTTTTTGATAAAAAAATGTTTGCACTTAGATGAGGTGGTTTTTCGGCCTTATGCTGTTCACAGTTTCCCCAAAACACCACATGCAAAGCCGGTCCTAAGTATGAGGGGCGTCTGAATTAGATGCCAAGGTTTCCTCTGTTGGAGACGTTGATGAGCTCCAGCACCATATATCATTTAACTTTTTACATCCGTCACTGCCGTTATTTTTTATGTATTATTGTGTGAACAATCTTATACACATATGATTTTAATTCCACAACTTATTTAATGAAAAATACTGAAACTGCAAAATTGTGTTTTTTGGACACTGGCAGAATATATTATATATAAGATTTGCACACAGTTGTAATGAAAATGCAGCTTGTGATAGTTCATGCGCAAATGAGTCTTTCCAATGTAAAACAAGCCTAGCCTTCGGTAAAAGCAGCTCTGTCAGGAAGAATTGGCCAAAGTTTCAGCAAACAATTATGAGGCGTTTGTGGAAGGGATGCAGGAAATATTTGACCAAAGTCATACACTTTAGATACTGTCTTCATTATCCAGCCGTTTGGAAAACAGCAATAATTTTGCCGATGCTAGCTGATCTAAAACAAGAACTGCTGAGTAAATATGATTATGATTAAATATGACTCTTCACTGTTTCCCCCACATCCAGGAATGACGACTGCGTCCATGGAGCCCATAGGAATCCTGGTGGAAAGGGGCGCCAATGCCACGGTCCCACCCGTGAGCTCTCACCAGGACGCCGCCGCTACCATCACCATGGGCACCATCCTCTCCATCATGTGCTTCGTCGGCGTCTCTGGGAACATTTACACCCTGGTGGTCATGTGCCACTCCATGAGGACCGCGGCGTCCATGTACATCTACATCATAAACCTAGCTCTGGCAGATCTGGTGTATCTTCTCACTACCCCCTTTGTGGTGTGCACTTACTTCCTGAAGGGCTGGTACTTCGGGGACGTGGGGTGTCGGATACTGATCAGCATGGATTTCTTGACCATGCACGCCAGCATCTTCACGCTGACCGTCATGAGCACGGAGCGATACTTTGCGGTGCTCAAGCCCCTGGACACGGTCAAGCGGTCTAAAAGTTACCGGAAGGCTATCGCGGTGCTGGTCTGGGTAGCCTCTCTAATCCTCACCCTGCCTATGATTGTGACCATTCAGCTTACAACCGTTAGAAATAAGGCAATGTGCCTGCCCACTTTATCCCAGCAGTCTTACAAGATTTACATCTCTTTTCTGTTCTGCACAAGTATCGTTGCTCCGGGGCTGATCATCGGGTACCTTTACATCCAGCTAGCACGGACTTACTGGATATCACAAACAAAAAGCTTCAAGCAGACCAAGAAACTTCCTAATCAAAAGGTTAGTACTTAGCAAATGATCTGTTTAGAGTGCTTTGCAAAGTGTTAACTTTTTCCACACCTTGCCTAACTACAACTTACACCAAACTTTGACATATTTTATTTTGATTTAGGGTGACAGAACACCTTATTAGGGCCATTCTGACAACATATTAAAAATACAAAAATAAGATTCCAATAATAAATGTGAATACATTTTACGAGAATAGACTCGTAAGAGAATAAAGGCATAACATTTTGAGAATAAAGTCATGGGATTATGTGAATTAAGTCGCAATAGAACTGCATTCTCGTAATACTATGATTTTAATCACAAATTATTGTTTCTTATGTGACTTTATTTTATTTTATTTAACTTACATGACCGCTCCATGAGCTCTTTCAGCGTTACTCTATAGTAACGCTGAAGACTTTGAATTAATATGGGTTATAACAACATTTAATCTTCCTTTGGCATCAATAAACCATTTTTGAATTTGAACTGAATTTGAATTCTTGTAAAACTATGACTTTATTCCAGTCATTTTTTTTCCTTCAAGTTTCTCTAATACTCCGTTGTACATTATAAATAATGAACAATCTTAAAAGTTTGGCATACGTTTAACTCACCCCTTTCATAATCTGATGCCCTTAAACAAAATGAAGTCCTCAAGGTTTGTTAGAGGACATTAGTGAACAATCAGCATGACGACGATCGAGGAACGCGGCGGACGGTTGTGACGCTTTAAGGCAAGCTTTGTTTATGAAACGAAACCATAAAATGACAGGAGCAACTGCAAAGCTACCCAGGTATGCTCATCCACCCAAATGAGCAGGTCATTTAAGCAGGGAGCAAGGAGACCATTAACACCACTAATGGTGTTTTTTCAGTTCTTAAAAAAAGTAACATACTCACATTAAAAGGCATGTGCAATTGAGTAAATCTGTACATTCATTTAGTCAAGAATACATGTGCATGGATAAATGTGTTCTTCTAGCTGCTGTACCTTTTTGCTCACAATTGGGTACCAAGGCTTTCATTCACTCTGCTCTCTTTTCTTTTTGTTTTTTTAATTGATTGTCATTTTCTTTAAACTGTGTTACTTTCTTATGTTGTATTTGTTTCTGTCTCTTAGCCAGGACTCCCTTAAAAAATGTTTTTTTAATCTCAATATTTATCTTGATACAATAATTAAAATTGTGCATAAAAAACTGACAACAAAAAGTGAGAAAGAGTCATGGAGTTTGTTGGGAGCAGTGATGGTTGTAGTATTGCGGCTGCTCATAACGCTGCTTTGTGCACCCAGGATGCAACAGCTTGTCACTGAAGAAGCTCTCCAGTTAAGCAGCTTCTTTGTACATGGAATGGGAGACACAGTTAGTGATGTGATTTTTTTGGGGAGGGGAGTGTTTTGTTTTGCTTTATGTTTTATTCCCTGCGAATCTGTTGTTCACACTCCAGTCCAGTAGGGGGCGACAATCTATCTTATAAGTTAGATACCAGCTGGCAGCCGCACTTCTTTTCACCAGTTGTTTGAAAAGAAGCAGAAGAAGAAGAAGAAGAAGAAGACGCCATTATAGAAAAGAATAACTAGTGAATTATTTTCTACATATACATACAATGAGTGTATATGTTTGTGAAATAAACCAATTTTGATACGACCATAATATATTGTTCACCAAACTTTTTATCAAAAAACTAGAGTTTTTTTTTACCGTGTTTCCATGAAGCGAATTGGTTTTAGAAATCTCAAATTGCGTATTTATATAGTTAATGGACCATAAAATTGCAGCTGATGTCCAGGGCTTCTTTGTATCCCCAGTCTATTTCTGCCCACCACCTGATTTGAGTGAAGAGGGGAATAATTAATAGCTATAAAGAATTTACTCTTAAACCACAAATAATTCTAACGCAAATAATAATTTGTGGTTGTATGGTATTGCTGAAATCTTCATTTCCCCATGTTCTTCTAGGTGCTGTACCTGATCTTCACCATCGTGCTCCTCTTCTGGGCGTGCTTCTTGCCCTTTTGGATCTGGCAGCTGCTCCAACAGTTCTGCCCCTCCTTGCCCCTCTCCCCCAAAGTCCAACGCAACATCAACTACCTGACCACATGCCTGACGTACTCCAACAGCTGCATCAACCCGTTCCTCTACACGCTGCTCACCAAGAACTACAAGGAGTACCTGAGGAAGCACAAGAGGTCGTGGTCGGCCGGCAGCTACTTCAACAGACGGAACCGTTTCCAGCGGTCGCCCCGGAGGTCGCCGTCCGCCAGCAGTCAGCAGTGCACCGAGAGCTTCATGCTCACTCACACGGCTTCCCTGCGCGCTCACAGCAGCCTGTGCGGTAGGAGCAGCCTTCTTCTGGCTTGAATTAGTGTAATGTACATATATAGATATATGTATATCCACTTTCAACATCGAAACCCTGGCAGCAACCTGATGCTTTAGTCTAGGGCTGTCAAACTCATTTTCATTTTGGGCCAGACCAATAATCTGAATGTTCTTGAAGGGCCGGTTCTGACAGAATGTATTGATAAAACTGTCCATTTGAAGACTAAACACTCGCATCATCTTAAGAGTATTTCACAGAATGAACACTTCATGGATCAAGACAAAGCTTTCACAATCCAGAAGCTTATTGGATTTGCTTCTGGTGACTTAATTAAATTGCAAGAAACCATTATGTTTAACATTTCACCGATGAAATTAGATACGCATTATTCAAGTTGGAATCTGGATCCATCAGCATCCATCTCATCCATCTCTGGATCCATCAGCATCCAACATCCTGAGGTATTTTGTCCTGAATTTTCCAAACCTGTATTCTTTTGGCAGATACAGGTATGATACTATTTATGACTATATGAAAACTCCTTGAAAGGAAAGACATATTTCTTAACGCTACTGTCTTTACAAAGTTTGTGTGTTG